AGGTGGGTCTCGAACCCACAGGCTCAGGCAATCCACTCACCTCGGCCTCCCAAAGCGCGGAATTACAGGCTGAGCCACCGAGCCTGGCTTAACATTTTTATGTACTATTAAATTTGTTAGTATGTAGTATTTTAGTATAAATAATATGTAATGTATATCAAATGTGTATAATGTATGATATGTGAAATACATATATGAATATACGTGTATATAAAGCATAACAATATAATGAGCAGTTTGTGAACCCACTCCCCTGCTTCTGAACCAGAATATTGGCAATACTGTTGAGACTCTCTGTTTGCCCTGAGTTCTCTCACTCAGTCTCCCTTCTGCCACGTTGCTTAGACTTCCGATAAATGTGATCAGTTGGCAGTCTGCTCTCTTGTAATTGTCAAACCTTTGGGTGTGCTGCCAAAGATTTTGACCCTTCATATTGCATTGCGCAACAGTAGTAATGTTTTATATTAATTGAAGATTTTAAAAAATGGAATGAATAAATAAGCACAAACTCAAGCGCTTAATTTTATATCCTCCGAAATGTATTTGTCAGTTTGAGTGAGGCAGGCAAAATCAAGCTGCCGATAATGGCAAGCGTGTCGTGTGTGCGCAGAGTCGAGACAGAGCCACGCATTTTTTTTTGGTTTGTAATTAGATGATTTCAGAAGAGACCACATTGAATGTATGATTTTGTTTATTTTAATTTGAATATCATGTCCAGTGATGAAATGTATCAAGACAATATAGCATAATGGCAAAACAGAAACAGGTCATAAAGAACTTTCTAGGCACACGGATATCCAGTGCATGCTGGCTGCTGTTATTCGTGGTAGTAGTAGTATCACTACCAGTTTTGAAAGAGAACTGATGCCACGTAAAAATGAGAGTGCTCCATTCGTTAGAAGACTAACACGTACTTTGATTCAGAAATCCTTCCTGGCTTTGTAATCTTTCATTTGTTTCTCAATTTGGTATCTGTGAACTTCCTCGTAGAGACATGGGAATGGGCAGGGAAGTGTGGGGAAGGGAGAACAGGAGCAATGCCGGGCGGGGCACGGATTCGACAGAGCAGAGTCCTGTGTGAATAATGAGTGAAGTGTGAGTTGAAGAGGCCATGGCTCGTCGTTTTACAAACAGGTGTACTTTTTCCTCCTCCGGTTATAATATAATTGCTCTCAATTTTAGGATGCCCTGTTCTTCCTAAAGGATTTCTTCACGAGTCTCTCTACAGAAGTGGAGCTTCTGTTGACTCCAGATCCAGAAGGTATTAACTGTGTCTAGATTAAAAGTACTTGGCTTGATTTTGATTGCTAGGAGGCTTTTTTGAGGGTATACTTAGTCTTCATTCCCATTTATATGTTCTGTGTTTGCTTTTGTTAATTTGTTCTAATGTAGTTTATGTAAAAGTAATTTAAAAGATGAAAGCAGATTTTCTGTGTAAAGGAATTGTATTTTGAGTAATAAAAGTAGCAAAACAAGTTGGCTCAAGATTGATTTAAACGGTTGCTCTGAAGAAGCATACCTAATTCTTCAAATGTGCTCACTATGTTTTCAGTTAAAAAGTCTCCTGGAGCAGATGTCACCTGCAGTCTGCCAAGGCATTTGAGTACCTCAAGGGAGCCAAATCTCGTTCTTTCTTTCCCTGGGCCAAAACCACCTTCCCACAGTGACAGTGCCAATCCCATGGAGGTGGTTAATGGGGCGGAGGAGAAGGCCTTCTCTGCTGAGGAAGCATCGTTTGGTGACCAGCCTGTGTTTTTTAGGTAACTCCTTTAGCCTTGGTAGCACGTGAAGGCGTTCTAGCGTTTTGGAGGCTGTTCTGTGATAAGGGTGTGCTGCTGATGGTGAGTTCCATCAGCTCATCTTTGCACCGCCGCGTCGGCAGCTGGTGTAGTTTTATCTGCATGTGGTCCCTACCTGCCTGGCATCCCGGTTCACACACAGCGCTGGTTCGCGTGTCACCCCGCTCTTGGTTCTGCCTCAGGAACTTCCTCTTCCTCTTAGCTTCTTCTTGTCCTCCTCTTTCTGTCTCCTCTTCCCGGCATCCCCAAACATGCTGTTGCCTTTTTGCTTTTACACACCTCAACTCGGCCATTCCTGCCTTTTCCCTCAGGGGGATTTTCTTCCTGCTGTCCCTTTTCCGCTTCTCCATCAGTGGTGTTTTTCTGGGCACTTCCCTGCAGACTCAGTGGGTGCTGTGGGGAAGCCCAGTCCCCATGCTGCCACTCTCTGCGGTGGCTACCCAGCTGCGCAGCCTTTTTAAAATTAATGTCCCATATTGATCCTTTTATTTTAAAAAAATTCTATTGCTGGGCGGGATGGCTCCTACCTATAATCCCAGGACTTTGGGAGGCCGAGGTGAGAGGATTGCCTGAGCCCAGGGTTCAAGATGAGCCTGGGCAACTTGGCGAGACCTCATCTCTACAATAAATTTTTAAAAAGTAGCCAGGCATGGTGGCACATGCCTGTAGTTTCAGCTACTTGGAAGGCTGAGGTGGAAGGATTGTCTGAGCCCAGCAGGTGCCACTGCACACCAACCTGGGCAACAGAGAGACTCCTACTCAAATAAATAAATAAACAAATAAATAAATAAATTCTGTCAAAAAACTATATCTCAGATGGTAATTTGAATCCTTATTTTATATTAATCCCATATAAACTACCAATATGGGTTTTGAAAACATGGGCCTAAAGCCAAAAAAATTTGACATTAAAAAAAAAAATCTAAGTAGCAGAAGCCCTACTTACTTACTTAGGTATGTTTTTTAAGTTAGACTATTTAAAATACTGAGAACAGCTCACAGATTTCCATTTCTACTCTCAAAAGCTCCTAGAGGGTCCAGGACCCTGGAGTGGTAAGAGGTGGTTAGTCCAGATCGCACACCTTACAGATGAGGAGATTAATGCCCAGAGAGGTGAAGCGACTTGCTCAAGATCACACAGTGAGCGGCCTAGCCAGGTCTATGAAACAGTCTCATCCCCAGAAAATCGAGTGTGCTTTTTAGTGATGTCATAGGAGTCTCCCTCCTCCCTGTAACCATTCATTCATTCTACAAATACTTATTGAGCACTTACTGGATGCCAGGTTTTGATCTAGACACAGTAGAGCAAAATCTTTATTTAATTGAAATTACAATTTGAGCTTAAAGTAATTAAAAATAAATGGTTTGTCCTATGATATGTGCCACGGAGGGAAAAAGAGTGGGAAAGAGGAGAAGGCGTGGTGAGGGCATTCCCCAGAGAACCAAGTGGAGACAGGTATTCAGGGGCGAGGGCAACCGGGGCCCCACGCTTCCCATAATCGTGTTTGATGGCAACACAGCATTTCCGTTTTGTTATGTAGCTTAAGTGGACTTTGGTGAGATGACTTAGGTTGTAGCCACCAACCTTAATTTTGTAGGAAAAATGTATTCCAAGTTCCAAACATTCCGCTTCAGTCAGCTTTTGGAAGCCAGCTCATTTTATTTGTTGTGTGCCACTATCAGACAGTCAGCCTTCCATATTCTCCAGTTCCATCTTCAGGATTCAACCTAAATATTCAGAAAAATTAATAAAAAAATAACAATGCCACAAAAAATAATACAGTTTTAAAAGTCCAGCATAGCAGCTATTTACACAGCATTCGCATTGTGTTAGGTATAAGTGATCTAGACACTTAAATTTACTTAAATACTTAGATTTAAAGTAAACGGGAAGATATGCATAGGTTATTTGCAGAGCTATGCCATTCTATGTAAGGAACTTGAACGTCAAGGAGTTTGGTATTTGCAGGGGTCCCAGTACCAGCCCACTTCAGATGCTGAGGGACAACTGTAAAATTATAATTTCATTCTCACTCAATTCCCAATATTTTGTTATTGATGGTCTGTTTACTTACAAGCATTAATTTTGAGAATTTTCATCAGAATTCACCAATTAGGTGATGCTTTAAAAATGTACTGATGAAGCACTGAAGAGTGGAACTGAAGTTCCTTGCCCATGTTTGCATCCTATAGACCAAGCTGGAAATCATGTTGGGCTTTCTGACTCTCCTTCACGGAGAGCAGAAGTAGTGCCTCACCTCCCCTCTTTTATTTCTTGGTAATGATTATCTGGTTTCATATTGACAGTTGCTTTTACTAATTAGTTCTTTGTATGAATTGAAAATACAAACCAGAATACATTTTTCAAAGAGTAGACATTATTTCATAAACTAAAAGAAAGGTTTTTTGGGTTTTTTTTTGAGTGGGAGTTTCACTCTGTCGCCCAGACTGGAGTGCAGTGGCACGCTCACGGTGCAGTGGCATGCTCACTGGAGTGCAGTGGCACGCTCACTGGAGTGCAGTGGCAGGCTTGACTTGCTGGGCTCCGGCCATCCTTCCGCCTCAGCCTTCCAAGTAGCTGGAACTACAGGTGCGTGCTACCACTCCCAGCTTACTTTTTTATTTTTTATTTTTTTAATCAACATTTTTAATTATGATTTTGTGGGGTACAGTTAAGGGTTAGGTGTACAATTACGTTTCATTCAGGCACCCTGTTGATAAGAGGTGTTTCTCCATCCCCAGACAGATATTTGCGACTGTTAATCCCATCCCCCCCACTTTTTTATTTATTGTAGAGACAAGGTCTCAGCCAAGTTACCCAGGCCAGTCTTGAACCCCTGAGCTCAGGCAGTCTTCTCACTTTGGCCCCCTAAAGTGCTGGGACTACAGGCTTGAGCCACTGCACCAAGCCTAGGAGAAGGTTTTTATGAGATATTGTAAATATAATAATGTTATAAGATGCTTAACATTTGTTTAGCTGTTGTATTATGTTGAGAAAAGGTAGTACTAGAAGACATTCTCTTTTATGTAATATTCATATTATTTTGTGGTTTTGTTTTTAACTCAGTTGAACAAATTGATTTATTTACATATAATTTCAGCTATTCGTAATTTTAAATGTAATTCTTCTCCTTTTTTTATCTTCAGAGAATTTAGATTCACATCCGAAGTTCCGATTCGACTTGATTATCATGGCAAACACGTATCAATGGATCAGGTTTGGAAACTGTATAAATACACTCTATAAAATTATCTTATTTGCTCTTCTAATAAACTCAAGGCTTTTTTTGACTTTGTCCTGTCATAGTTTATGTGTATGTTTGAGATGAAGTAGAAAGTTTTGAAATTTAATTTTTAAGCGAAATCTCAAGTACCATGAGTAGAATTTGGTATAATTGGGTCAGATATAAAATACATATATTTTTGCTATAAATATTTTGAGTGTTTTAATGTCAGTAATGAATATTGTTTTGACTTTCACGATAACAACTACTTAAAATGTGAAATCTCTTAAGTTAAAGATTAATCTGGCATGTCTTAATTTTGAAGGGTACATTAGCTGGGATTTTGATTGGTCTGACTCAGTTAAACTGCTCAGAACTAAAACTGAAGAGGCTTTTTTATCGGCATGGGTAAGTTGATTTATTATATGAAGTTTTATTGTGAGGTTACTAAAGTTAGTTTACAACAAGTTAACTCGATTTTCTTAGCAAGTGTACATAACGTAGTTTTACAGTGTTGTCTTCAGAGAGCTGACCCGTCACTGGTTAGATGCTGGTTTTTATTCTGAAGTATTAGAAGTAGTTTGAACAGAGTAGTATTCTAAAATGGCAATCATTTAGGGTGCTTGTAATAGTAATCTGAAGTTGTAAACTAGCTTATTCGGTGAAAAGACTGGAAGTTCACAAGGTGATAGTGGTTCTTAGCAGCCATTAGTGACAATTTATAGACTTTGGATTAATCCTATGCCAGAGCCTTAGATGTTCAAGAAGTAAGAGGAAAAACACACTCATACGTATTACCTAAGTTTTGTGGAAATTGTAGCATTATAATCGGATTTTATACATGCCATATTTGGAGGAACTCAGGTGGGGAGGTAAATGGCTGATTCATATTTCTCTTTGATTATTGAAAGGTTTAACTGCTTTTGGGGGCTCTATAATATTCGGCCTTATAATTTGTAAATCTTCTAAGTCTCCAAACTTAGCTGTGTGCATAAATGCATTTCTCCTTCATCTGTGCTGTAGCTTGCTAGGTGTCGACAGATTATGCTCATACGCAATCTCTGAGTGGCTCAACGACATTAAGAAGAACCAGCTACCAGGCGTCTTGGGAGGCGTTGGGCCTCTGCATTCACTGGCGCAGCTAGGTGGGTTTGCTCTTCCTTCGTCAGAAGACCGGCTGTTTTGCTGGACCGGTGACTCTGAACTCTTCGGGGTTAGGGGTGCCTTGGAGAGTCTTTGTGGGTCTGGAAAACTCTGTGTGTATTCACACACACAAGACTCTGCCTCCGATTTCGGGAGTTAGAAACCCCAGGTGAAGGTGATGAGGGCTCTGCGCTCCCGCACCCATGCTGATCTCTGTGTGCTAACTGCTCGGTTCCAGTGCAAGGCCTCAAGGACTTGGTCTGGTTACCCATCGAGCAGTACCGGAAGGACGGCCGCATCATGCGAGGACTCCAGAGAGGTGCTGCTTCCTTTGGCACCTCAACAGCAATGGCTGCGCTAGAACTCACAAACAGGATGGTTCAAACTATACAGGTATCTTTATTCTTAGACCACCTTAACTGTACAAGAACACGAGCCGTTGTTTGTAACGATTTAATATCTTGTTTGATTGTTTAAATGTCTAGTGTTAAATAATTAGGATAAAGTAGTGAAATCCAGTGCCAATTTGTTTGCCTGCTTGGGATAAATTATAGCCATCAAGTTAGGAAAGTATTTATTTCCCCACATTTGTATGAGCAGATCATAGCTAAATTAACTTTTTTGAGTCCGAATCTCACTCTGCCACCCAGGCTGGAGCGCAGTGGCACACTTGTGGCCCCTGCAGCCTTGACTTTCTCAGCGATCCTTCTGCCCCAGCCCTCTAAGTAACTGGAGCTTCAGGTGTGCACCACCTTGCCTGGCCAGTTTTTCACTTATTGTAGACGAGGTCTTCCCAAGTTGCCCAAGCTACTGTCAAACCGCTGGTCTCAGACAGTCCTCTCGCCTCCACCTCCCAAAGTGCTGGGATTGTGGACATGAGCCACCATGCCTGACCAGTTTTATATGCAGAGATGGAGTCTTGCTGTGTTGCCTGAGCTGGTTCTGAGCTCTTGGACTCAAGCAATCATCCTGCCTTGGCTTCCCAAAGTGCTGAGATAATAGGCGTGAGCCACCGTATCCAGCCGATCATAGCTAAATTTAAAGAAAACATTATAGATGAAGCAGTAGAAATACTAAGGTTTATTCTATTAAAGATTAAGCCCCATAGAGTACATGGAAACATTCTCTCTTTTTTTTAAAGTGTTCTCAGTGAACAAAGGAAGGACTGAAAAATTCAGTTTCGCTCAGGTGTTGGTTTTTAGTTTATACTTTTGTTTTAGAGTTGGAGTCTCACTCTGTCACCCAGACTGGAGTGCAGTGGCTGCTCCCGGCCACCGCAGCCTCGACCCGCTGGGCTCCGGCGATCCTTCTGCCTCAGCCTTCCGAGTAGCTGGAACTACAGGCGCACGCTACCACGCCCGGCTCATTTTTGATTGACTGTAGAGATGAGGTCTCGCCAAGTTGCCCAGGCGGGTCTCGAACCCTCAGGCTCAGGCAATCCACTCGCCTCAGGCCTCCCAAAGGCACGGGATTACAGGCTGAGCCACCGAGCCCGGCTTAGTTTATACTTTAATGTTCTTGCTATTAAAGCCATAAATTATTGTTGTAAGAACACATGGGAGTGTTTGTTTTAGGGCTTGAGAATCCCCTTGTTCTTCCTCACTCCCTCTTCAGACTTTCTTCTGATTCATTTCTTACTTCTTACAAAATGATCCAGGCAGCAGCAGAGACAGCTTATGACATGGTGTCTCCCGGTACCCTTTCTATCGAGCCCAAGAAGACTAAAAGATTTCCTCATCACCGGCTAGCTCATCAGCCAGTAGACCTGAGGGAAGGTGTGGCCAAGGCCTACAGTGTTGTGAAAGAGGTAATTGAATCCTCAGTGGACAAGTCAAAGCTTGCTTGCATGCTTTCCCAGCTTTCACCTAAAGAGCATTTAATACTTTAAATTTGTTCCAAAGAAACCCCTGGAAGTGGAATGGGAACTGCCATCAATAACATGTGCACCATCTGTGTGACGCGACAGAAGAAGGCTTGACTGTGACCAGTAGGCTCTCAGGAAGGGCAGTGGTTGACGAACGGGCTGATTCTCTTTCCATGCAGAAGCATGCGAGGAATGATAGAACCCAATGCCATGTGTTCATGTCTTGGCTCAGTCCGTATTATACTTTGCTCTGTTGTCCTTAGGTGTATGTGAGAAAGACACCTTCCCAGATGACTCTCCCACCCTGCTCCCTTCCCATGCCTGCACTGTCTAAAGACATTACATAGTTTTCTGCATATTTTTACAGTTTTACTTTATAAGTATGCATAAGTAAAACATACTGGTTTTATACCTTTACAAGTTTACATAAATGGTGTCATTATGTGTATCATTCTGAGACTTAGCTCTTTCAAGACATATCTATGCCGATACTTGTAGATCTGATTTCAGTGGTTTTGTCGTATATCACTGTACGTGTATATACCATAATATATTTCTCTTGCTGTTGGAGACGTTTAGTTTCCATTTCCCCCCTAAAACACTGCTATCGGGAATGTCCATCTACTGTGTTTGTTCATGTCTGCAAATTCTTTAGGGAGGAATTGGCAAGTTGTAGCTGTTGGAATCACAGCATTTATTAAGCATTGCTAAATTGCTCTCTGACATGGTTGTGTCTCTGAATCCTGGTTTTTTCCTGAATGTTGTCAGGGCCATTCCCTGGCTTAATCTTTTTTACATTCTTAATGTAGCATAAAACAGTCTGAGATCATTTTATTTATGATAGTGTTTTAGGATTTCACTCGAGATGCTTTTCTCAGTTGTATTCTGATGTCAGTCGTGCCTAGGATAGTCTTTTACCTGACAGAGGTCTCCTCTGTTTCCAGAGGGTGGCAAGGCCGCTGAGGGAGGGCTTTAAGAAATGTGCCAGTGGGTAAAAAAATGGTCAGCTTTTGTTTTTAGATGCTATATATAATGATGATAAATTAATAGTATTTATTTCAATACCTTTCTTTTCTCTCTCTTTATTTCAATGGCTTTAGGGTACAAGTAGTTTTTGGCTTCTTGGATGCGTTGCATAATGGCAAAGAAGTCTGGGCTTTAAGTGTACCCGCCAACCCACGTGTGCACACTGTGCCCGATAGGGAATTTTTTGTCTCCCCCCCCCCTTCTGAGTCTCCAGTGTCTGTCAGAGCATCTCTCTGCCTCTGCCGATCCTGAGATCAGCTCCCACTTCGGAGTGAGGACATGTGGGGTTTGGTTTTCTGTTCCTGCATTAGTTCCCTTAGGATGACGTTCTCCAGTTCCATCCATGTGCTGCAGAATACATTATTTCACTCTTTTTGATGGATGAATGATATTCCATTGTGTATGTATACCACATTTCCAGTATCCACTGTTCAGTGGGTGGGCATTTAGGTTGATTCCACATCATTGCAGTTGTGATTGTGCTATGATGCACATGCCAGTGCGGGTACCTTTGTTACAGGATGGCTTCTGTTCCTTTGGGTGTGTACCTAGTGGTGGGATTGCTGGACGAAGTGGTTCATCTACTGTTAGTTCTCTGAGCAATCTGCATACCAGTTTTCATAGAGGTTGTATTAATTTACACTCCCACCAACAGTGTATAAGTGTTCCCTTTTCTCTGTATCTGTGCCAGCGTCTGTTGTTTTTTGATTTTTTAATAATGGCCATTCTGACTGGTGCAAAATGTTATCGCACTGTGGTTTTAATTTGCATTTCCCTGATGATTAGCTAATCATCATCATATGTTTGTTGGCTGTTTGTGTGTTTTCCTTTGAGAGGTGTCTGTTCATGTCCCATTTGCCCATTTTTAATGGAGTCATTTGCTTTTTTCTTGCTGATTGGTTTGAGTGCTTTGTAGATTCTGGATATTAGTTCTTTGTCAGATATCTAGTTCGTGAATATCTTCTCCCATTCCATAGGTTGCCTGTTTGCTCTGTTGATGTTTTCTTTTGCTGTCAGAGGTCTTTAGTTTAAGTCCCTCTTATTTTTGTTTTTGTTGCATTTGCTTTTGGAGTTTTAACCCTACGCTCTTTGCCTAGGCCAATGCCCAGAAGAGTTTTTCCTAGGTTTTCTTCTAGGAGTTTTATAGTTTGGGGTCTGACATTTAATTCATCTTCAGTTAATTTTTACATATGGGGCAAGATAGGGATCAAGTTTTCTTTTTCTGCATGTAGCTGTCCAGTGTTCCCAACACCATTTGTGGACTAGGGTGGTGTCCTTTCCCTGGTGTATGCTTTTGTCTGCTTTGTCAAAGATCAGTTGGTTCTAAGTATTTGAGTTTATTTCTGGATTCTCTATTTTGTTTCACTGGTCTGTGTGTCTGCTTCTGTACCAGTACTGTGCTATTTTGCTTACTACAGTCTTGTAGCATGGAAATTTGAAGTCAGGAAATGTGATGCCTCTAGCTTTATTTTTGCTTAGGATTGATTTTGCCATTCTGGCTCTTATTTGGCTCCAAGCGAATTTTAGGATCTTTTTTCTACTTCTGTGAAAAATGATGTTGGTAGTTTAATAAGAATATGCATTGAATCAGTAGATGACTTTGGGTAACATGGTCATTTTTTAGCAATTTTAATTCTTCCAATCCATGAGTATGAGATGTTTTTCCGTTTGTGTCTTCTGCAATTTCTTTTATCTGAGTTTTAGAGTTCTCCCTGTAGAGATCTTTTACCTCCTTGGTTAAACATATTTCTAAGCCAGGCTCAGTGGCTCAGCCTGTAATCCCAGCACTTTGGGTGGCTGAGGTGAGTGGATTGTCTGAGCCCGCGCGTTCGAGATCCACCCAGGCAACCTGGCAAGACCTTGTCTTTACAATAAATCAAAAACTAGCCTGGCGTGACAGCGTGCACCTGTAGTTCCAGTTACTTGGAAGGCTGAGGCGGAAGGATCACCGGAGCCCAGCAGGTCGAGGCTGCGGTGGCCGGGAGCGTGCCACTGCCCTCCAGCCTGGGTGACAGAGTGAGACTCCAACTCAAAAAAAAGAAAGATATATATATATATATATATATATATATATATTTCTAGATATTTTAGCTTTTTGACAGCTATTGTCAATGAAATTGAGTTTATGATTTGATTCTCAGGTTGGTTGCTATGGTGTATAGCAGTGCTACTGAGTTGTGTGTGTTGATTTTGTATTCTGAAACTTGACTGAATTCGTTTTATCAAGTCCTAGAGTCTTCTGGAGGAGTCTTTAGGATTCTCTAGACATACGGTCATATTGTCAGCATACAGACATGGTTCAATTTCTTCTTTTCCAATTTGTATACCTTTATTTCTTGTCTGATTGCCCTGGCTGGGACTTCCAGTACAATGTTCAGTAGAAGTGGTCAAAGTGAGCATTGTTTCCTTGTACCAGTTCTGAGGAAGAAAGTGTCCAACTTTTCTCCTTTCAAGATGACACGGACTGTGGGCTTGTTGTATATGGCTCTTATTATTTTGAAGAATGTTCCTTTATGCCTATTTTGCTGAGGGTTTTTATCATGAAGAGATGCTGGATTTTATCATGTTTTTTCTGCATCTGTTGAAATGATCACATGCTTTTTGTTTTTAATTCTGTTTATGTGGTGGATCATATTTATTGACGTGTGTATGTTGAACCAGGCTTACATCCCTGGAATAAAACCCACTTGATTGTGGTGGACTATTTTTTTATGTGCTGTTGAATTTGATGTGCTAATTTTGTTGAGGTTTTTTGCATCTGTGTTCTTCAGGGATATTGGTGTGTAGTTTTCTTTTCTTGTGTCTTCTCCTGGTTTGGGTATAAGGGTGATACTGGCTTCATAGAATGAGTTAGGGAAGATTCCATCCTCTTCCTTCTAATGGAATAGCTTCGGTAAAATTTGGTACTAGTTCTTTTTTGAAAGTCTGGTAGAATTCAGCTGTGAGTCCATCAGATCCTGGACTTTTTTTTAATTGGGAGACTTTTAATTACTGTTTCAGTCTCTCTACTTGTGTTTGTTCTGTTCAGAGTTTCTATTTTTTTTCTCACTCAAGGTTGAGGGGTTGAATGTTTCCAATAATTTATCTATTTCCTCTAAATTGTCTAGTTTGTTTACATAGAGCAGTTTGTAATAATCTCATATGATCTTTTGTATTTTTGTCATATCAGTTATAATGTCTCCATTTTTATTTCTGATTGAGATAATTTGAGTCTCCTGTCTTCATTTCCAAATTCATCTAGCTAGTGGCTATCTTTTTGTCTTTTTTTGAGTTGGAGACTCACTCTGTCACCCACGCTAGAGTGATTCTTCTGCCTCAGCCTTCCAAGTAGCTAGAACTACAAGCACGCACCACCAGGCCTGGCTAATTTTTTTATTTATTGTACAGATGACATCTCGCTAAGTTGCCCAGGCTGGTCTCGAACCCATGGGCTCAGGCAGTCTTCTTACCTTGGCCTCCCAAAGTGCTGAGATCATAGGCATGAGCCGCTGCGCCCGGCCAGCTATCTCTTTTAAAACTTTTTTTTTTTTAATGTTTTCAAAGAACCAACTTTTTGTTTCATTGTATTTTTGTTTTGTTTTCAATTTCATTTAATTTTTCTCTGATCTTTGTTATTTATTTTCTTCTGCTAGCTTGGATTTGGTTTGTTCTTGTTTTTCTTATTCCTTGAGGTATGACAAAAAGTTGTCAATATGTGATCTTTTAGTCTTATTAATGTAGGCCTAAGTGTGTTATAAATTTTCCTCTGAGCACAACTTTGGCTGTGTCCCAGAGATTTTGATAACTTATTTCATTGTTGTCATTCATTTCAAGGAATTTTAAAATTTCCATCTTGGTTTCATTGTTGACCCAAGGAACATTCAGGAGCAGATTGTTTGGTTTCCATATTTTTGTTTGTTTTAGTAAGTTCTCCTTGGAATTAATTTCTAGTTTTATTCTACTGTGGTTCGAGAAGCTACTTGATAGGATTTTTTAAAAAATTTGTTGAGACTTGATTTTAGGCCTGTCATATTGTCTGCCTTGAAGAATGTTCCATGTGCTGATGAGAAAAATGTATGGTCTGTAGTACTGGGGTAGAATGTTCCGTAGATGTCTATTAGATCCATTTGCTCTAGGGTCAGTTTAACTCCAGTGTTTCTTTGTTGACTTTCTGCCCCAATGATCTGTCTATTATCAGTGGCATGTTGAAGTCTCCCACTGTTATTGTATTGCTGTCTGTCTTTCCTTAGATCTTAGGATTTATTGTATAATGTTAGGAGCTCTGATGTTAGGTGCATATCTATTTAAAATTGTTATCTTTTTTGTTGGATCGATCCCTTTATCATTCTGTAATAACTATCTTTGTCTTTTTTTGCTGTTGTTAAATTTTTTTTTATCTAATATGAGAATGGCTACTCCTGCTCATTTTTGGTTTCTATTTGCATGGAATATTTTCCCCCACCCCTTTACCTTGAGTCTGTAGGAGTCCTTGTGTGTTAAGTGGGTCTCTTGAAGGCAGGAAATACTTGGATTTTGGTGTTTTTTTTTTTTATCCATTCTGCCAGTCTGTATCTTTTAAGTGGAGACATTGAGACTATTTACATTCAGGGTTAGTAACGATATATAAAGTACTATTCCATTCATCATGCTGGTTGCTAATTGATTATGCTATTTATTTATTTTTTATGAAATGTGTTGGTGTTCTGTAAACCTTTTGAGCTTTATGATTTCCAGTATTTTTCTACTGGTGTATTTCAACCTTTTGTTTCAATATTTACAACTCCTTTGAGTATTTATTGTAGAGACAGTCTAGTGGTGACAATTTCCCTCAGCACTTTCTTGTCTGAGAAAGACTTATTTCTCCTTCATTTATGAAACTTAGTTTTGCAGTTCACAAAATCCTTGGCAGGCTGGATACTCTGTTTGAGGAGATTGAGGATAGGGTTCCAGTCCCTTCTGGCTTGTAGGGTTTCTGCTGAGACAATGGTCACCTTATTACCAAAGAGATTTAGTGGGGAGAATAGAGATAATTACCAGTCTGACTTGTTCCCACAGATGTCAGGGTTGGGCCATTATCAGTATACATGCCAGAAGCGCAATTTGTGACACTGATGCTGGGATTTAAGGCATAGCAAGGGCAATCGACAGCAGGGTATATTATTAGCACTTTGATATGTAGCAATTTGCATAGTCCTTGCCTAATTTAACCTATATTCATTTTAAAAATGTGTGTGCTTACTTTGTGCCAAATGTGTAGTAATTAGGAAAGATAGATGATATTCCTAAATTACAGTTGAGAAAACAGACACAACAAGACCAGCGACCTCCCCAGTGGACCACAGCGAGCAGGTAGTGGAACCAGGACTGGGTCTAAAGTGTAGTTTCTTTCTCTAACACTGTCAACAGGAAGCATGAGGGGGCAGGGGTGGTGAGGACAGTTAGTGTGGATGGAGGTGGCAGGGCATGCTTGACTAGACTGGCTCTGAATTCTCTTATTACATTTTTTGAGATTCATCTTCCTAGATGAGTTGATATTTCTTTTTCAGTTTAGAGGTTAGTCAGTCAGAGATGAAGAGGAAACGGCTTTGTGCATCACAGATAGGCTTGTCCTTGCAGTCGGGGTCGGCGGACTGGGCTGCGGGGCAGACCTGGCTGTGCCTGCCTTTATGTGGGCCTTTTTTGCTGATAATGGTTTTTGCCGTTTTTGAGGACTATCAAAGAAAAACTCAAAAACAAATAAGAATCTATGTCAGAGACTATGGCCCACAGAGACCTGCTCTCTGGCCCAGTACAAGAAAAGTCTGCTGACCCCTGCTTTACATAATTCTGTTTGGTGGTAGCCAGTACTTGTGAGAGTAGTAGTAGTTATCCAGGCATTATTCATTGGACACTTCCTAGCTTCCAAGCTGCGCCTAGCTCTTGAGAGGAACGCTTCGTTTAATTTTAACAGTCAGCACAGGAGGACGGCAGTATTTAATTCCCTATTCAAATGACCTGTGTGAGGCTGCACAGCCAAGTGATCGTGCTGAGGTCTGAATTGGTTTCTGTGGCATTCGCCGTTATGCCGTGAGCAGCTCACACCAGTTTTGGGGGCAGGAGAGTTGGCGGGGGGCGGGGCACAGGGCAGCATGCGGGAACTGCATGAATAATAAGTCAGTAGCAAACATTTCCGTCGCTGCACTCGCAGTTTCTCGTCATCTAGACGGTATTTTTAAAGCACTTCTCTTTGCTCCCATTTTTCTGTACTTTTTTTTGTCCTCTGGCATCACGTGATTTTACCTGCTGCCCTGGGTGGAAATGATGCTCCGGTTAACTTGGCCAAATGGTGACTGGATTCTGGGTTAGGACAGGGTTCTTGATTTCCCTGGAGGACCCAGCATTCCTTTGCGCTGCTCCCGTTACTGAAACTCTCAGAGTGGAACACTGCTTTGTGTCCCCCAGGGATTTCTGAGCTAGACAATGTAGAGACACAAACCGTGTGAAGCTTGACCTCGACGTGTATGTACTCAACTTCAAAACTGAGTGGCCGTGATTATGTTGATGTTGATTAGCTGTTAGAAGGAGGATGGCGGATGCTGCTGAGGTTTTGTGTCTAATCGTTAAACTTGTTCTGCTTTTTCTTCTCATTCTGTTTAATCCCATAAAATGTTTTCTTTGGCTTTTTATCTTAATTGAATGTTCCACAGTTGTTTTTCTAATATATAGCTAGTCATGTAAAACAAATTAAATAATTTCCTAGCGCTTAGTAGAATTAAGTTTTCTTTTGTTGAATCAAAGGGAGCTATTGCCATATTTCTTTAGTGAACTCAAGAAGCTTGGTTTGCCAAGTTTGATTTAACTGGAGTGACTAATAATACCAGAAAAGCTACTCTTGAATCATTCAATATTTCTGTAAGCTTCTCTATGTAAAATTGTAGTTTCGCTACATTTTCCACACAAAATGTCACAACAGAATACTACATAATCATAATTGCCTCTTCCCCTTATAATTAGAATTTTGTCCTAAAAATACCCTGTTATTTCAAAAGCACAAGTTTTAAAATGCTGATTAACTGTCCTAGAAGTGTGTATTGTAGGATAATTCAGAGAGTTTCCTGACCAGTAATTTACTTCTCTCCTCTCCCCACCCACCCCTCTGTGCAGGGAATCACAGACACAGCCCAGACCATTTACGAGACAGCGGCTCGAGAACACGAGAGCAGAGGGGTGACCGGCGCTGTGGGCGAGGTTCTGCGCCAGATCCCTCCGGCGGTGGTGAAGCCTCTGATTGTTGCCACGGAAGCGACATCAAATGTGTTGGGTGGCATGAGAAACCAGATCAGACCGGATGTCCGGCAGGACGAATCGCAGAAGTGGCGCCACGGGGAAGACTGAGGTGCAGACACGCCTCCTGGTGAGGGTGGCGAGAGTGGAACTAAGAAGCGTCGCATCCCGCTGGCAGCTGCAGAGGAAACTCATTCAATTGTGTCGTGCTCATCTCAGGAACAACAGCATTTTTTAGTTAAATAATTTAATGTCAAAACAACAAGCAACCAAAAACTTCTGGCATTGTAGGGCTAGTTTGGGTACTTGCCTGTAGAAATGTTTGGTAGCTGGGGTGTCAAAGGTCCTTAAAGCATTTGCTGCCAAGTTAGTGAAGGCTTACTTTTATTAAGATTAATTCTCCTTGTTACAGGCGAGATATCATTGGAAACCTCCTTCTAACACTATCTGTATAGCTCTGTGGAGTTTATTTTTCTCAAGGTTTAAAAAGAATCACAGCTTCAAACTTTCATTGAGAATGAAAGACAGAAGCTACAGGGGAAGCAAAGCAAATAGGATTTTCAGCATATATATCAGTGTGGAAAAAATACCCTTCTCTGTTGGATTTAGTGTTCATGAACTTGAGAACAACATCATTTCCATTTACTCAGAACATCCTTCTGTGGGGGTTTGAGAAAGTGAATGTCACAGACGTGTTCTGTTGTGTTGCACTTTATCCTGTGTGTGTATGTGTTTAGATTAATACGAGTCATGTCTATACACTTTATGTAAAAGAGACACAAAATACGAAGAGGCTGAAAGCTCTTGGCAAAGGAAGGTCACCCAAATGTGCCTTCCTTTATTTAAAATGTAAGTGAGAACGTGCATTCTCTAATGAACGGGGCCCATGTGACTGCTCACTGTTCCGTGTCAAGCAGGCATAGTTATGCAAGGTCGTTGAGAATGTGTGGAAGGGAGATCAGAAGTGGGTTTTACTGTTAAAATTAAACAAAAGTCCTCCAAATATGCCCTGATCAGCTATTTCGATGTCCGTTTTTACTTGGTTGACAGTGTACATTTTGATAACCTGTCAGGAATGAATAAAGTATTTTTATTTAAAGGTAAGGTTGTTTTATGCTTCCGTGAATATTTTGCTTTTCTTAGTGCGTATTCATAGATGCAATACCATGACTTACCCCAAGATACTTGGGGGCACTTCCTCAAATTGGTTTTGGTTACTATCAAATAAATCAATAGCTGGGGGGAGAGGGAAGTTCCTCTCAGTCCCTGACTTTAATCCAGAAGAAAGAACATGTGGAACTCTGTATTTATCCACTATTTGAAATGGCATGCGATGATTTCTCATTTTCTGAAATGGGGGGTATTTCATCAAGGTAAATTTGGATCTCAGAAGATGAAGTTAGATCAGTTTCATTCTCTCTATGTTGTAAGCAGGAAAGCAATGCAAGCCCAAATTCAGAATGCTTAGAATTTATTAAAATGGTGTTATTTGGCATTGAGTTACATTATTTCCTTTTTACTGTTGAAAAACTTCAAAGGCTGTAACTGCCCATTTAATCACCGTGAAATCATTTATTCCTCCGTCTCTGTGAAGTGAGGTCTGCGTGGAGCGTGGCCCTGACGGCCCACTCTCGAGCAGGGGCCCTGCTGATGACTGAAGGCCCACCCTGCCCACCGCTGCCACGTGGCCTTGCCACGGTGCTCGTCAATTCTAGTGCCCTCTGTCTGCCCTTGAGTAAACGTGCTTTGCGTGTTACCTGTCACGTTAGTCAAACTGAAGAACACTTGATCAAACTTAAACGTTTAAAATCTCTTTAACTTTTCAATGTACTTCCCATAGTTATACTTCAGTTAGATATAGAGAGAAATCATTTGACTCTTTGCACTCTGAGTTGCAAACAAATCAAGTTTATAACTCCCATTTAAACATGTATCTTGGTCATGTAATCTCCATGGTTCTTTCTCTGTTTTGTCCTTCTGCACCTCTGTGGACAGAGTCATCATTTGGGAACAGAAGCCTTGCGTCTCAGAAAGATTCGTCGTCAGTTCAGCTAAGTGCCCTTTACTTGGAAAGCCCAAAGAGGACCTATGTGTATTTGAATGCTTCTACATCATTAAGTATGCCTAATAATTTCTTTTTTAAGAGTGTCTTTCCAAATGCTTATGTTTCAGTGACAGTAGAAAGAGGGTTGGGCAGAATCCCTGGTTTGGGAGATCAGCAGCTTATACCATGCGGACAATTCGACCCACACATCTAATCTCTCTCAGCCTCAGTGTCCCGCTTGGTAAACAAAGGGGTTTCTTAGGACAAAGCCCGATGGGGATTTTTGGATGCGTGCGTGTGTGATACCGTGCTTTCTGGGTTCGTCCCAGACCTGTGACGCCTCCTTGAGTGAGAGCCCGCTGGTCACAAAACACACAGAGCAGCTAAGGGCTACTTTAGCTCCCGGATCTCAGAGTAACACCTTTCTGAGCTGCCCCAGTGGCCGCGCAGGTGAGTTTCAATGTGCTACTTGTGACTCAGTGATACTTCTGACGAGTAGATTGCATTGTTGACTACATTGAGTTCTTAAGTTATCTCCCAAAGTCCATAAGCAAACTTGCTCAAGATCTGGTGAGTTTCAAAACCCCCACAGTATAATTGTCATGTGAAGACCCCCTTACGTCACAAGTAGAAAGCCAAGGCCGCCATGGCAATGTCTCCCTCGTGTGCAATTGATTTGAGACCTTCAGTCTTTCTTTCCTGTCTCTCCCCAGAGTGCTGTTATTTGAAGTAGACTCTCCACTGAGCATTGCCTTTTAGGATAGATGCTTCTTCTCGGCATCATAGCAATAGACTTTCACTTTAATGAAGTTTGGGTACAATTTGGATTTTCACTTGTGCACATCCGTTTGACATCGATATTTTTATAATGCAAAATTCACTTTACGAGGGGGAAAAGAAACCAACTTTCCAAATAGCAGTGTGCCTAAAATGCCAAAATAATGAAAACATGTTCCCTACCTCCCACCCCAGGTCACTTTTCAATGCTACTAAAGTATTCTTGGCTTGTAGGGAATTCGTTTTTAGCTATCCCCAGTAAAAACTGCTCTGTAGGTCTAGTGCCTTTGTTCATTTTCAAAAAAGTCCAGATGATTTTGTCTACTCCCATAGGCCAGCAGTTCCCAACCCTTTGGCATCAGGGTCCCATTTCGTGGAGGATGATTGTTCCGTGGACAGGTCTAGGGGCATCAACAGACATTAGATTCTCATGTGGAGTATGCAGCCTATGACTAGATGCATATGCTCACGCTCTTATGAGAATCTAATGCTGCAGCTGATCTGACAATAGACAGAACTCCACTTGCCTGCCGCTCACCTGCTGTGCTGCCTGGTTCCTGTACAGGTGGGTTCTAGTCCACAGCCAGGGGGTTGGGGAACCCTGTGAGGGCAGCTTGTCCAAAGGCGCCGTGTGTACCGTCACCAGAGCAGGGCAACAGCAGGCAGAGCTGAATTTTATAGCAGTGACCTTCGCGATTACGATGGCTCATGCCCCAAATCCCAGCACTTTGGGAGTCCGAGGTGGAAGGATTGCTTGAAGCCAGTAGTTCAAGACTAGCCTGGGCAACAAAAAGAGACCTCATCTCTAGAAAAAATAAAAAAATTAGCTGGGCATCCACCACCACGCTACTCAGGAGGCTAAGGCGGAAGGTTCATCTGAACCCAGGAGGTCAAGGCTGTGCTGAGCCGTAATTGTGCCACTGCACACTGGCCTGGGTCACAGAGTAAGACTCCGACTCAAAATAAAGAAAGTGGTGGCTTTAAATGCAGAATCTGCAACGGCACCAACTGGTTTCAGGATTAACTATGAATTGTCTTAACGTTACTTTAAATCTGTGACTTGGCATAGGAGAAGTCACTGTCCCCGCACCTGCGTGGGTTGGGGAGTGCTGGCCTCCCGTGTTCACCCTCTTCCCCACCCCCCTTCCCTTCCTCTTGACCTGCTAAGTCCAGAATTTCAAGTTTTTGAAGTCCCTTGAAAATAAGGACTGCAACATGCCAATTCATATCAAACAGAAGAAAAGAATATACTTTTGAGTCTCAGGTTACCAAGGAAACTATTTGTATAATTTATAGATAATGAAGAAAAAAGATTTCTTCTTTTTCATGACCAGGAAATCTTATTTTTGTTTACTGGAAGACATAGTCACTCTTTTCACGTAAGAATAGAAGTGCTTTAATGCCAACTTATTTTTATCTCAACATTCTTGGGATCATGCTAGGCATTGAAAAGTGAACTGGGGCAGGAGGTAGATAGCTCCGAACGTGGTGGCTCACACCTGTAATCCCAGCACTTTCAGAGTTGGAGGCGGGAGGATTGCCTGAGTTCAGGGGTTTGAGACCAGCCCGGGCAACTTGGTGAGACCTCGTCTCTACAATAAATAAAATAAACCGGGTGTGGTGGCACACGCCTGTGGTTCCAGCTACTTGGAAGGCTAAGGCAGAAGGATCACCTGAGCCCAGCAGGTTGAGGCTGCAGTGGCCATGAGCATGCCACTGCACTCCAACCTGGGCTATGAATTTTAAAAAAAAGTGATAGGCACAGTGGCAAGTCTGCCAGTTTTATTCAGAAGTATTTTCTTTCATCACAGTGCAGATCAGAGAGAGAAAAAGCATTCCAACACGCTACCACAACAGGCTGCTTTTGGGATGAGAAATTGGTCTCAACAACTTATATTTTGCAATGCCAGCAGTTTTTGTAGGTAGTCGGTAGAGGCGAATTTCTGCCCCCTCCAGCAATGCTCGGCACCGCGGTTTCAGGCATGTGACTTCACGGTCAGCACCAGAGTGCCATCTGCTGTGTTTCAAAAGGTGGTAAACGTGGGGTCAGCTGGCTCAGTTACAGCTCTGATAACCCTGGCTCCCTTTACACAATGTGTACGTTGCTGCTTCGCTGTATTTTGTGTTTGTGGAATGGCAACTTTCCGTTTCGAGTTGGATTTGTCTTGTGCTGTTCATACAGCCTGCTGGCTACACAGGCCTACTTGCTTTTTCATTGAGAAGGTTGATAGAGGTGTCTAGTTCAGGTCTTAGGTTAAGTCTTCCTGACTTCTTTTAGACATTGAATTTATCCCCCTGAGTTAAAAGAACATGCGTGTATATGTTGACTGTCATTGCTAAGTTTCCTAATTATGGATGTGAATATGAACAGATACTGTACAAGTATTTTCGTGGAAATATACCTTGTTAGTGTAACTATTTAAAATAATATGAAAATAAGAATATTCTTAAAGACAATTAAAATATTTACTCTTTGGATTTTGCTTTAAACACTATTGTCTTTCTCCAAGAAGTGTGCCCAAGGCCTGCAAAAAATACTTCTTGGGGTAGCGGAGGGGAGGCCTGTGTCAGCCCCCATTACTGGAAAATGATATTCCTGTGATCCTGGTACTTTTGATAGCAAACCTTGTGTCTGTCTGCAACTAATAGCTGAGCTACGCGGAGTATATAATATTCAAATGTGTCCCTTCTCCCACTCTTGAGTATTAATTACTATCATTAGTTCTCATATCCCTGAGGTGGACTTGAGACATGTGCATCTTATAACTAGATAAATACTTGCTAAATCTGTTCTATCTGGAGGAATTTTTTTTTTTTTTGAGTTGAAGTCTCACTCTATAGCCCAGGCTGGAGTGCAGTGCCAGTACTCAGGGTTACAGCAGCCTTGACTTGCTGGGCTCAGACAGTCCTTCTGCCTCACCCTTCCAAGTAGCTGGAACAACAGGTGCATGCTGCCATGCCTAGGTAATTTTTTGATATTGTAGAGACGAGGTCTCACCAAGTTGCCCAGACTGGTCTTGAACCTCTGGGCTCAGGCAGTCCTCTCATATCCACCTCCCAAAGTGCTGGGATGATACACATGAGCCCCGCGCCTGGCCCTTAGAGGAATATTTTTTACTTTTAGAAGACTCTTTAAAAGACATTTTATCTTACTGTATTTTATTTGTTTTTTTGAGTCAGAGTCTCACTCTGTCACCCAGGCTGGAGTGCAGTGGCACGCTCACGGCCACCGCAGCCTCGACCTGCTGGACTCAAGTGATCCCTCCGCCTCAGCCTTCCAAGT